GTCAGCCTCTCTGCTCCTATGATGCTGCTTGGCCTGCTGTGTTCATCCAGCCCTGCACCTTGTTGTCTCAAATATCCTTTTAGTTTTGTTTGCTTATTAGTTCAGATGTCACTGGCTAGGCACCTATCCCTAATTGCCTTTGAGGAAGAGATGGTGAACCTCCTTGAACCACAGCAACCCATGTGATTGTGGATACATCCACAGTCCAGTTAGGGAGAGAGTTCCGGGTTATTAACCTAGAGAGTGTGAAGAAACAGCGAAGTAATTGTAAGTCAGGATGATGCGTGACTTGGAGGGGAACTGACATGGTGGCATCCTCATGCATCTACTACCCTTGTCTTTCTAGGTGATAGAGATCACAGGTTTAGAAGATGCTGTCGAAGGTGTGTTCTTGCAGCGCATCTTCTAAATGGCACAAACTACTGCCACTGTACATTGGCATTGAAAGGAGTGAATGTTGCAGGTAGTATATAGTGTCTGCCAATCAAGCAGACCTCCTGTCCCAGTAACTGTTAAACCACTCAAGTGTTGTTAGAGCTGCATTTATCCAGGTAAGCAGAGCGTTTGTCTTGTACCTGGTAGACATTGGATCGGCTTTGGGAAGTCAGAAGATCCATTACTTGCCACAGAAAATCCAGCCCTGATCCACTCTCATAGCAACAATATATATATGGATTGTCTAGTTCAGTTGCTGGTCAATGGTAAACACCATTGATGTTGATTGTGGGGAATTCAGCGATGGTAAGGCCATTGATTGTCAAGGGGGAATGATTAGATTGTCTCTGGTTTAACATGGTCAATGCATGACACTGCATAGTGTGAATGTTACTTGCCAGCTGGCAGCCCAAACCTGATTGTTGTCCAAAACATTTGGACATGGACTGCTTCAGTATCTGAGGAGTTGTGCTGAACATTGTACAATTATTGGCGAACATTCCCACTTCTGACCTTATGATGAGGGAGAGTTTTTGATGAAGCAGCAGATGGTTGAGCCTAAGACTCTACCCTGGGGAACTCCCAAAGAGATGACCCCGGACTGAAATGATTGACCTTCTACAACTGGAACCATCTTCATTTGTGCTCCCTGTGACTGCAACTAGTGGGGAGCTTTCCCCATGATTCGCATTGACTTCAGTTTTGCAAGGGCCATTCTTAAATTTTTTACATAAATCCTGAAGAGGCAGCTGATATTTAAAACAACTGGGATATTTCACCCTTCTCAAAAATGTCATCAATATGTATCAGGTTAAAGTTCCTCAGGGTCCCAGATGATTGAGTGGCCTCAGACTGCAGATTGTCAGAGCTGAGCTCTGATGTCTTGAATTATATTGTTGCTTTGTTAAATCTGCAATGTGACATGGGCTGTAATACAGATGTGGGAAGTGTCTCCAAATCTCCAATAATGAGGAATGCCAGAGGGTTTCCTGATGGATTCTGCAAGTTAATGGATAATTTTGTTTTTATGTTTCTGGGAGGAGGCTAAAAGCCCTATCTTTATTCCTTTCTGGTTTGTCTCATTAATTGAGTCTTTTTTTTCATTTCTGGTACATTTGTTGACTCCTTGGGGAGACAATGGAAGTAGTTAGTGTTGATTCATTCAAATTCAAATTAAATAGACTTCCTTCAGAAAATCACGTTTTGGAAAAGAATACATGACTCATCTGTGATATGACATTCGATAAGTTGTGTTCCAAATGCTCTGCACCCCTGGGAATTTTCTTCGTATCATGTCCGGGTCTGGTGTAGATTAATTAATAAAGATTGAGTGCTCTGATCAGACAGCAATTCCATTATTGTTGTATCATGCCTCCAGCAGAATGGTAGAAGGATAACCAAATAAACTTCAGCCTTTTTTCAGCAAATCGATCAGTCCTTATATTCCTACAATAACTTGGTTCAATGTCCACATTAGCAATCGGACGAAATGGAAAAACAAAGACTAGTTGATGTGAAGGGATGAACAAGGGCTCGCTCATGATGGAGGAACTGAGCTGTTTTTGAAAGGCCTTTTTCATCACATCTATTGCATGATCTCAGGTTACATTTGAATACTAATCAAATCCATTTCACAACCGTGCTGCACTTCTTCAGAGTTCATGGACAATCTGATTTCAGAGCAGAGCAAACAACTTGGAGTTATAAAGTGCCTTGCAGTGACATCAGTGCGTCACAAAGTACTTTTGAAGTATAGCTACTGCTGTAATGTAAGATTGTGGCAGGCAATTGTAAAAACAGCAAGTCCCCACAGGCAGGGGGATTGATCAGAGCGTCTGCCTTGGTGATGTTGGTTGAGGGATAAAGATTCACCTGGGCAGTGAAATAAACTTCTGTGTTCTGCTGAAAGTGACACCGTGGACCCTTGGTTAGCATCTGACCTCATCTGAAGACAGTACCGTGGCTGGCTGTCGATTCACTGTCCCATACACTGAAATGAATTGAATTGAATAATTTATTGTCAAGCAGTGCTTCCATGCTGAATGTCTGGTACTGAGGAATCCTGACGTGTGCTTTACAGCTTCACTTTGGATGGTCAAAACAAACTTTTGAGAAAAAAATTTCAGCAAATCGGTTGGGATAGAGGTGTCTCAGGTGGAGTACCAGTGCCAGCACTCTCTACTTGGGTTGAATGGCTTCTTTCTGTCTACCATCACCATTGGCAGTCCCTCACAAATGAGGATGACACCCTTCCACTCTCAGGGTAAGTCTGTAGGTGGCTGTACCACAGGCTCTGTTACACTTGGTGGTCATGGGAAGGGGTAGGTGGGGCACTAGTGTGGCAGCGTGCTCCTTTTGCTGTTTTCACCTGGCTTCCATTTTTATTCCCCGACTGCAAGTCTGGAGGTGCTCGACGCCTTCCTGGATGTTCATTCTCCACTTTGGACGGTCTTGGGCCAGCGATTTTCCCAGTCTACAGCAGATACCTCAAGGTGCTGGAGCAATACTACCAACACTGCATGCACAAGATCCTGCGAATCCACTGGGAAGGAAGATGCACTAACACCAACATTCTCGACCAGGCCAATATCCCCAGCGTCGAAGAACTCACCACCCTTGACCAGCCGCGATGGACTGGGCACATCGTCCGCATGGCCGACAAGAGACTCCCCAAACAGGTGCTCTACTCTCAGCTTTGAAACAACGCTTCAGTGATATCCTCAAAGCCTCACTGGCAAAGTGCAGAATTCTGTGCATATATCCTATGTAGCTGTCATACAGAATTCCAACCAGTTTTCCCAGTTACAGCAGACCTCTCCCTCTGGGGACAGGGTAGCGGGAACAGAGGGATACTGGGGTCGGGAGCCAGAGAATTGTAACATAGACCAGGCTTCAGCATGAGGAAACATCCTGCCAGACACTCAGCATTACCTATTGGTACCAGGAGGTGGTGGTCTTTGATGGCACGAGACTCCATAACATTCCCAACCACCCGAAAACTCAGATTTGACATTGCCCAGTGTAGACCTCCCATCAACACTGGGGCAGATGGAAAATCGGGCCAAACGTGGAAATGTCCTTTAAAACTACCCTGTTCCTATTTTTATAGGTCTTAGCAGAGCACTACATTGGATCTCCATGTCGCGCAAAGTATGTCCTAAACTACAGCCTATAGTGAAGTGTGTTGCAGCTACGTTGGCCGGGATAGTTCTTTCTTAATTCTGCCATTAATTTGGGATGTGGAAATGAACATGAAAAGCTTGTTTAACAAGCAGACAAATAATCCAGTGGATACTCAATGAGCCAACCTTAAACTGGCCCTAATGAGATTGCCTTAGAAACGGACCCTTTGTTTCCTCGTCTCTTCGCAACAGTAGCTGGGTAAATTGCTTGGAATGAGAGCTTATGAGCCGTGTGATTTCCAGGTGTGAAACAAATAGCAAATAATCAGCTGGTTTATGTGCTTGTTAATGGGTCATTCTTTCATGAATGATTAGCTTTGTTGCTAAGAGCTATACCAACAATAAGCAGCTTTTTGCACAAAAGAGTTTGGCAAATGTCTTAATGCAAGACGTTATACAGTTTATAAACTGTACTTGTCATATTTTTATACCTCACAAGTATGTAGCACTCACAGCTCAGTTGGCAGCATTCTTGCCTCTGAAACTAAAGGTTGCAGGTTCATGTCCCACTTAAGAACAAGTTTCAGGCTCACACTGCACTGTTAGGAAATGCTGCCTTTTTGATGTTAAACCAAAACCCTGTCTGCCTTCTCAATTGAATGTAAACAATTCCATTCACAATTTCAAAGGCAAGCAGAAGGAGCTGTAGTGTCCAGGTCAACAGTTGGAAAGGACACGTTACCTGGACATTATCACACAGCTAATTCTGGGAGTTTGCTGTGTACAAATTGGTTGGTATATTTCATCTGTGATCTAACTTCAAGACAATGTACTTTATTGGCTGTGCGGGGAGGTGATGGCCTAGCAGTATTATGACTGGAGTGTTAATCCAGAGACCCAGCTAATGTTCAAAAGCTGACAAGGCAGATGGTGGAATTAGAATTCAATTTTTAAAAATTCTGGAATTAAGAGTTGAATGATGATCATGAATCCATTGTCAATTATTGGGAAAAACCCATCTGGTTCACTAATGCCCTTTAGGGAAGGAAACTACCATACAAGGTCTGGACTAGATGTGACTCCAGACCCACAATAAATTGATAATAAATGCTGGCCTAGCCAACAGCACTCTCACCCCATGAATGAATAAAAAAAAGCAGGATCATGTTGCGGTCTTGAAAGAGTTCTCTATAAATGCAAGTTTCTCCTTCATAAGGGATTAAGGCTGTTGGGCTGATGGTGAGGATATGGGGGTGTCAGCAGAGGGGAGGGAGAAAGAGTCACTCAGGGATTGATGACATGGATATCATGGGATGTGATGAATATCCTGCAGTTTCACTTGGTTACCTTTCATCTGTGCAAACAGAAGGCTTGATGGGCCAAATGGTCTCTTCATATTTTGTGCTTTCACACACTCTCAACAACTTTCCTTTACTTTGACAGGAAACAAGTGATGGCAAATGGGTCAAATACGAGCGTGCTCGAACCACACTTATCACCACCACACACAGCTCCACCATCCACACGGGTATGTAGAACACTCCATCAGAATGAATTGTGTACTAACTGCATATTTTATTTTATTTGTGTAGGTCTTAATCAGAGAGTCAGTAAAAGCTCACCTAAGCATGTACCGTTTAGATTGATTATATAGGATTGACAACACAGAAACTGGTGATTTGGCCTTCACTGATGTTTATACTCTACATAGCCCTTCTGCAACTCTCTCCCATCTTACACTATCTACATATTCTATTCTACACCTTCTATTCTTTTCTCCCTTATGGATTTATCCATTCTAAGTGCATCTACACTCTTCACCCCAACAATTCCTTTGGGTGTAAGTTCTACATTCTAATCATTTTATGCATACAGTGTTTCTTGTGAATTCCTGACAGGATTGCCTTAGCGACAATCTTACATTTATGGCTTGTAGATTTGCTCTTCCTCACAATTGGAGACATATTCTCTTCATTGGCCCTATCAAATCCCTTCATTAGAGAATAAGCATTAGAAGCAGGGGTAGGCTATTTGCTCTCTCGAGCCAGCCCTGCCTTTTAAACAGATCATGGACAGTATGGAAAGTGAACAATTTTTGAAGGGCTCTGAGAACACCCCAAAGGCTTCTCTCTTCTGGAATAAAAAGAACTAACCTGTTGACTCTTTGTCAGTTGTTAAACTCTCTTATTCTGGTCCCATCTTTATAAAACTGTGCTGTGTCTTCTCCTGTGCGTCCATCTTTACGTAACAAGGAGACCAGAACTCATAAGGATTACATTCTAATGATCTTCTTCCAGTATGAAAACTACACAAATCTGGGCCAGGAGTTTTTATACAATTAAACTTTTTCTTTCAAAGTAATTAATTCAAAATTGGTGACAACAGTGCCAGATCGCAAGTCTGCAATATTTTAAGCACAATTTCCATTCTGAGCCAATACAGTTTGGTAGCTAAGATGGAAACCCTTCCCTTTGAGCACTGTAGTGTACTAACAGATCTCTCACAGTATTGTTCACATGGTGTTGTAGTTAAGCAATGTGACACATTTCTGTAGCAGGTAGGAGGTAGAACAGGACCTTCTGGCCCAGAGGTAAGGACACTACCACTGCATCACAAGATCCCTCCCAGAGGTAGGGACATTACCACTCCACCACAAGATTGTTATTTTATATCATTGTAGGCTTGTCTCATTTCAAATCACTGACAGATTATCTCTGGTTAGCAATTATCATTGTCATTGGGTCAGAGACTGAGAACTCCGTCCCTAAGAGCATCTGTGGGTGTTCCAGTAACAAATGAAACTGCAGCAGTTCATCATTATCTTCTTGAGAGCCATTAGGGATGGGAAACAAATACTGTCCTAGCCAATGACAGCCATATCCCATGAAAGATTTAAAATAATCGGACAAAGAGAAGTTGATTATTGTGTTGCTGGAACAGTTGGCTCCTTAAGTAACATTTTACACTTCCCTATGAGCAGATCTGGAGACAGGGAGGTTTGTACAATTCCACGGGTGCTGTGATTTAAGGGACAGTGGGCAAGGCCTCTGTCAAGTAGCCATTAATGTCCACTTCCCATTCGGCTTCATTTAATCAACAATTGGGTAGAGATCAGGAAGCCCTGCTGCCTGGGTCTCAAACAGGAAACAAAGAGATGCCTCCTTCATGGCTCCCCTTTCCAAGTGGATGCCCCCCACCCCGCAAAGATATGCTCCCACCACCTCACCCCTCAACAAGCACCACCCCCCACCCCTGATGTGTCCCCTTTACCCCGGCCCTTGTACTCCAAACCCGAGCCCACAGTGAAATCTGCACCCCACCACCGCCACCATATCCCCACCAGTGTACCTGTTTCTCTAGTCCTGGCTCTTTCTCCACGCGATTAGGTGCAATTTCAGCAGTGACCACTGCTTCTGGTGGTGTGTCGGAGACCAGAGACTAGTATTTGAGGAGAGGCAATGGCCTAGTGGTATTATCACTGGACTGTTAATCCAGAGACCCAGATAATGTTCTGGGGACCCAGGTTTGAATCCGGCCACAGTAGATGGTGGAATTTGAATTCAATAAATATCTGGAATTAACAATCTAATGATGACCATGAATCTATTGTCGATTGTCAGGAAAAACCCATCTGGTTCACTAATGCCCTTTAGGGAAGGAAGCTGCCATCCTTATCTGGTCTGGCCAACATGTGACTCCAGACCTACAGCAATGTGGTTGATTCTGAACTGCCCTCTGGGCAATTAGGGATGGGCAATAAATGCTGCCTGGTCAGCAATGCCCTCATCTCATGAATGATTTAAAAAAAATTAAAGGCATACCTCCTCCCTATCTGGGGTAGAAGGGCAGTTGCAAAATCTCTTCAGGATGTTAAATGGTATTGGGAAGCCCCACCACCATTAAAATCCTGTCCTTCATTATTTTGGCACCTCCTCTGAGTTTTCCAAAGGTAACGATAATTAGCTGAATCTGGCATACTTTAAGAAAATTGTTTTGTTTAAACTATTAATATTTCCACAAATTATTAATATTTCCACAAAAGCCAGTAAAATGTGACAAAAGGTGTCAGAATGTTTCTGTGAAATGATCTGTTATCAGAGGGGACTTGGCGTTCTGGGTGTAATAACACAAGCATCTTAATTTCATTTTTACACTTTGTAATCCCTGATTAACTGAAAGTTATAAGATATGAAGCAGTATTATTTGCTCAATATCTATCGAGTTAATCTCGGCTCACAGGTTCCAGTATCATAGAGTCATAGAGTTGTGCAGCACAGAAACAGACGCTTCGGTCCAACTTATCCACACTGACCAGACATACCAATTTGACCTAGTCCCATTTGCCAGCATTTGGCCCCTATCCCTCTAGACTCTTCCTACTGATATACCCATCCAGATGCCTTTTAAATGTTGTAATTGTACCAGACTCCACCACTTCCTCTGACAGCTTGTTCCTACAACCCACGTGAAAAGGTTGCCCCTCAGGTCCTTTCTAAATCTTTCCCCTCTGACCTTAAACCTATGCCCTCCAGTTTTGGACTCCCCCACCCTCGGGAAAAACCCTTGTCTCTTCACCTTACCCACACCCCTCATGATTTTATAAACCTCGCTAAGGTTACCACTCAGCTTCCAATGCTCCAGAGAAGAAAGCCCCAGGCTATTCAGCCTCTCCTTATAACTCAAATCCTCCAGAATCCTTGTCAATCTTTTCTGTATTCTCGCAAGTTCTTCCGATACAAGGGCAACCAGAATTGTACGCACTATTCTAAAACTGGCATCATCAATATCTTATTCAGTTCTCTCTGTTTGAAATTGATTATTTAGCCAAAGCATTTTCAGAGCCTGACTGGAAAGGGATTGTAAATGTTTGTATTGATATGAAAGATTCAGTAGAGTTAGGAAACATCTGTAAATGCTTATATTGTTAGTGCGTGTGATTAGTTGGAAATTCAAATGAAAGAATTGCTGTATAAGTTTACTTACAAGAAAGGTACTTAAAAATGTAACCTCCTCCTGACACAATGTGCTATCGAGAAAACGGGAACTACATGATGAAACTGAGTTAACAGTCAGGTGAAAGGCCTCTGATGTGAAACACTAACTATGCTTCTCCCACCACAGATGCTTCAGATGTACTGAGTATTTGCAGCACTTCCTGTTTCTACATGGGATCTACAGTGTTTTGCTTCTGTAACAATTATTGCGATTATGAAGGATCAAAACTGAGTAGATGCTGTCTGAATTTGTTTCACATAGGAGTCAGAAAGTCATAGTCACAGAGTCATACAACATGGAAACAGACCCTTCGGTCTAACCAATCCATTGCCAACCATAATCCCACCTGGTCCCACCCGTCTGCGCTTGGCCCATATCCCTCCAAACATTTCTTATTCAGGTACTTATCCAAATGTCTTTTAAATGTTGTAACTGTACCCACATCCACCACTTCCTCTGGCAGTTCATTCCACATACAAACCACTGTCTGTATAAAAAAAAATGCCCCTCGTATCTTTTTGAAATCTTTCACTTCTTACCTTAAAAATAAGCGCTCCTAATCTTGAAATACCCCACCCTAGGGAAAGGACACCTGCCATTCATCTTAACTATACCCCTCATGATTTTGAAAACCACCATAAGATCACCTCTCAACCTCCTACGCTCCAGTGAAAAAAGTTCTAGCCTCCTTACATATCAAACCCACCACTCCTGGCAAAGTCCTGGTAAATCTCTTCTGAACCCACATCAGCTTAATAATATTCTTCCTATAACAGGGAGACCGAAATGGAAACAGTAACGACTGCTGATGCTGGAAGCTAGAGTCAATAAATGTGGAGCTGGAAAAGCACAGCAGGTCAGGCATCATCCAAAGACCAGATAAGTCAATGTTTTGGGCTGAAACTCTTTGTCAGGACCAGAACTGGAACTCCTTTTGTTTTTAAAAAACACACTTTTTTTTTTTGTGTGTTTTGTTTTTGCGTTTTTGACTATAATAGAGCTAAAAATGAATCAAAATAAAAATCTTATACTACTGATATATAATAACTGTAAGAAATCTAGAAGTACATCTGGAAATAAGCCTGAATCTCTGGAGCAGCTGCAAGATTGATGCTACTCTCAGTCCATTTCAGAGTCGTACGATTACAAGACAGAGAGATTTTTATTCCCTCCATCGAGGCTGGTTTTACATTCAGGCGGCAGAGGCGAAAAGCCAATGTCTTTTCTCCTGCACCGTCAGTGCCCACCAGTTTTTCTTTGGCTATCTGTCACCATTATTGCAAACTATCTCCAGGTCGGAAACAGATGTGATCATGGGATGACAGCTCTGTGATGATGTACATTACTTCATCTGACACACTGGGTGATCCTTTTTTGCAAACAGCAAGATATAGTGTTTTACTTTGACAATATCAGTGCTGTGAAGATGGGCAATTACTATACAAAGCACACTCATAACAGATTGCCCTAGCTTCCGTTATATTCATCCAGTTTATAAGATACAAAATGCCTCAAGAACTATTCATAACATGG